ACCGAGCTGCTCGAATCCGAAGTGTCCGTGCTTCTTTTGGATCCGGGGGCAAGGCCCCAGTTTCCAAGTAATGAATTATAGGTCCATCCACGTTGATGGCTTTTGTGACGTTACCGGATTGGTAGTCGCGACTTCGGTCAATGCGGTCGACGGTTGTTCTTGCTGTCCGACTTGAACATACTCCATGCTTTCCATTCCGGAACTTGAAGCTAACCGAGACAAAGCGTCTGCTTGAACATTAAGAGTTCGAGGGATGTGTTCAACGTCAGCGGAGAACTTTGATAATTTTCGTTTGGCTAACGAGAGATATGGTGTCAGCCGAGGTTCTTTAACTTCGTACGAACCATTGATTTGGTTGACAAGGAGTTGAGAGTCTGAAAAAATTTTAAGATGTTTCACGTTCATGGATTCAGCCAAATTTAATCCGGATAGCAAGGCTTCGTATTCAGCTTTATTGTTAGTTGCTGGGAAAAGAAACTTCACCGAGTGACAGAATAATCGGTTTTCTGGGTCAGCCAAGACTATCCCTGCGCCTGCTCGGTTGGCTGTTGAGGAGCCATCAATATAGAGAACCCACGGCTGATTATCATTATGAACCGTTATAGCCAGAGTAAATTCGGCGATGAAGTCGGATAAGGCTTGAGCCTTGATCGCGGTCCTCGGTTGATAATGGATGTCGAATTGTCCGGGTTCAATGGCCCATTTTATCATGCGTCCCGAGGTGTCAGGTCAGTGCAGGATTTGTCGAAGTGGATACGAAGTGCGGACAGTTATGGAATGTTCTTGAAAATAAGGTCGCAATTTCCGAGCAACAATAACAAGCGCAAACGTCAATTTTTCCATCGGAGGATAGCGTAACTCAGCATCATGCAAGGCCTTGCTGACATAATAGATAGGTGATTGTAACAGTCCTTCTTCACGTATCAAAACAGCGCTAATGGCGGAATCACTAACTCCGAGGTATAAAAACAGCATTTCCTCGGGTCTCGACTTTTGTAACGTCGGCGGAGAGGCGAGCGTCTCCTTAATGCTGACGAGAGCTTTTTGGCATTCCTCGGTCCATTCAAAACGTTTCTCTTTTTTGATTGCTTTCGAAAAAAGGTTTGCAACGATCTGTAGACTTGGAGATGAACCGGTTGAGCGCAGCAAGTCGGCCAGTTAGGGCCTGAACACCCTTAACCGAGGTCAGTGGAGTTAAATCTTGGATGGCTTTAAATTTGGCCGGATTGGCTTCAATTCCGCGTTGGCTGACCATATAGCCCAGAAAGTTTCCGGATTCAACTCCGAAGGTACACTTTTTGGGATTTAAGACCATGGAATAAGAT